GGAAGAAAAGGAACCCAAAACTTGAAACCTCAAGGGGTTGACAGCTCATTAGGGAAGACAGTCAACTGCCAAAGGAAAGGAAATGAAGAACTGTGGGATTTGACAGGAGTGACGTAATGCCTGGTTTCTCACTCCAGGGAGAAAGCAGAAGCCTCTTGGGAAGGACAAGGAGGGGGGCCAAGCACAGGTGTGGAGGCGGGGAGTCCGTGCAGGTGCTGTAGGTCTGTGTGGGGGAGTAGAAGGGGAGGAGGTCTCTTCCGAGAGGAGGCCATGTTTTCTTTGGGGGAGGTGAGGTCCTATGCTGAGAAACAGAGGTGGAAGGGGTCGGGGGTGTGAGGAGGACAGGATGGTTTAGCACGGACATTGTAGAGTGTGGAAGAATGAGTCGACAGATATTTGGGCCAAGTGAAGGTTGGGAGTGATGAATTTATAGTGGTGTATGAATCTGCCTTTGTTCTGGAACCTTAGCCCAGCCGTTTTTTCTTAGTGGATGGGTCTCTGAGAATCTCTGTACTAGCACTGCAATCCTTCTGTAAATTTTAAAGCATTCTAAAATAAAAATCTTGTGTAAAATAACATTTTATTTTATTTAAATAAGTGAAAATTTCCCTTGACTCCCACTTAACCCTATTTATTTCTCAAGAGGAGTGGGTCTTTTAAGGTTATGTTCTTTGTATTTACAAACGTACGGTCAGAAATCATTATCCTTAGTTTTATACAAACGAGATCGAACCACATGTTATTTTTTATAACTTGCTATTTTTATTTACATCTTAGAAATTTTTTCTGTCAATACGCATAAACCATTCTTTGTAACTTCTGCTTTGGTGTAGAGATCTTGAAACTTTAATCACATACCCATATGAGAATTCTGAAGGATTTTATACCCTTTGTACGTTTTTAAGTGGACACCTAAAATTTTCTTTTTAGCAAAAGATTAAATAGTTGAAAAGCAAGTGTGTTTTTAGAATGTTTTACTTTGCCACATAAAAATAATAGTTACATCACTCTTTTAAATGTGTCCAAATGCTTAATGTATAGCGTTTTGATTCCCATCATCATTTATTTTAAAAATGCATGAGCAAGCTGTTCTTTATCATTGGAAATGTAAATCCATCTTTTGATTCCTTGAATTCTTATTTCCAGTCCTGTCTCTCACAGACATTTTTCCTAATGTAGTGTATTTTTACACACGAAAGTTTTTTCCCTTAAGTTGTTGTGGTTTTGTAACTAAATATGTATGGAAACTTAATTTTTAATTTAAAAAGTTTCTGTAACGATAAGACTCTAAGTATTAACTTGCTCCAGAAGAATTTAGCATATAATTACTAGTAGTAAACAGTTGACCTATGCTATAATTTCTGATAAGTTATTACTAACCATAAAAGTTGAATTTAATTGGAAACGTTTTTTATTAATGAGATGGTGGGGTCTGTTATTTTTCTTGATTGGGTCATGAATCTGCGGATAACGTTTTTTACTAGGCTGAAACAGGTTTCATTTAGCAATTTGTATTTCTGTTCTTACAGATGTAATAGCCAAGAAACCTTGTTCCCACGGCTGTGTGCGGGAGTAGAAGCTTTGTCACAGTGGTGTCCTCAGTTCTTTTAGTCACATGCTAAGAATTCCATAATTCAGTCCTGTTAAAAATTATCAGCAGTGTCCTATCAGATGGCAACTCTTTCAGGTTTGATGACAGCAGAGAGCTGAAACCTCTCGAACCGGAAACAGACTTATTACTCAGTCATTGGATAAGTCACTTTGTTCAGAGCTTGCTCTAGTTTCACAGATTTGTGATATTTTCTTTGACATATTTCTTTTTTAAAAGTCTCCTGTTTACCGTATCCGACATTGTGTCCCTGGGTGATATACATTTTCTTTGAACGTGATGTCCTTGTCCTTGGTAGTTCTCCTCAGTTACCTAGTGACACCGTCTTATTCGAAGTTGCCCGTGATGCACGACTGCCACCTGCGACAGCACTGCCAGGCGGGGTGTGGGGCTTCGCACTCTTGGGCACTGCCAGTCACCCAGGGAGCTGGCTTCCTCTTGTGCCAGAGCCTTCAGTCTCGGCTCCCGTCTGGAGGTGGCTGGCACGAGGCTGGCGGTTGTGGAGCGAGGGGAGGAAGGCGTGGGTCGGTGGGGACCGGCCTGGCAGCTTGTAAGAGCCCCACCACCGTTGCGTCCCTGAGCATAGGGTGGGTACCTCGGAGCCCCGCTTTCCTAGGGGCTTGCTTCGGGCCGTGGCTTCTCCGGTGTGGTCCTGTTTGCTTTCATTGTCTTGGCTATTTCTCATCATTTCTGGTCCACTGGAGGGTACCCTCCTTGATTTCCAGATCTTTATTTATGCTTTTAAGCAATTTCTTCTGCTGTTTTTTAAGTGTTTGCGATATATGTTGAGACTGACCTGTGTGCCTCAGTTGACTCTTATCTAGTCTTAAATTCTTTCATGCGCTTAATTAAAACAGGATTTCGTCTGGGAAAGTCTCCCTTTTTATCCCCATCTCTGGTTCCCCACACTCCAGTCCTTAGCAGTGACCGGTGGCGTTTGGTATATGTTCTTTCATATTTTTTCTGATCGTGTGTTGTTTTTATAATGCTGTTATGCCATATTTGCTTTTATTTATTTATTTTTAATATGTCCTGGCATCTTTCCATATCAGACCATGAAGACCACCCTCATTTCTTTTAATAGTTGTGTATTTCACAGTTTAGTGAAAATCTGTTCATGGGCATTCGTTACTTTTTAAACAATGCCATAATAAACATGCTATTTACATTCATTTTTGTGTAATTTTATGTCTTTTCATCAACGAAATACCTAAAATGGATTGTCGCGTTAAATGGGTATTTCAAAATTTGATAGACTGCCAAATTCTCTCTTCAAAAGGTGGTTTTAATATACATTCCCCAAATGGTGCATGAGATTACCTCTTTTCCTATCCATATACTTTTGCCCACATTGGCTGTTATCAGATTTTAAAAAGATTTTATCACTCTCATGGCCAAAAGATGGTATCATTTTTTTTTTTTGTAATTTGCATTTCCCTTTTATCTGCATTTTATTTTCTTGCTGTCTGTATTTTAAAATGAGGCAGATTTTTTTTAAATATGCATTTTTTTTTTCGAGTGAGAAGGAATGCATTTTGTAAGCTTTCTGTGTGAGGCTAAAGGGGAATTTATTTATTTTGGCCAAAATATGGGATAGAGCATGTTTTGCATCTCTCTGGATAAGCAAAACAACATGTGAAGCCCTAGAATGGAGCATGGTGGGAATTTAATAAGTCTGTTTTCTTTCATTCCTTTATTTCCCTCTTCTTCTCCTTCTTCTTCCGGTAATTGATATTCTCTTTTTGGTCTGCCTTGTTCTTTTAGATTGTTCTCCTTAGTTGTTCCTCTGCTATTTGAGAGAACAGAATGAATGATCTTTTCAGTGAATTTATGTGAACGATTTCTGCCCTGGATTTATGGGATCCAGAAAGTTGGACTGTGTGGTTTCTTGCCTTCCGAAGTAAAACTTTGCATTTTACATTTCATAGCATCCATTCTAGATTTTCGCTTGTCTGTGAGCTTCTTGCGAGAGATTCCGAGGAAACTTGAGATGGCAGGCACACTCGAAAGCAGCACAGGTTGCTGGAATGTTAGGTACGGTCAAGGCCTTTCAGGAAGGGTAACGATACACACTCAGTTGATCTACGTAGTCAGAGCAATGGCAATCAAGATTTCATGAGGAATTTTTTAAAAAGTAAATTAACAGCTGGTTCTAAAATTTATATGGAAAAGGGAAGTCATTAGAATAACCAAAACAGTTTGGGAAAGACCCAATTTGGAGGACTCACACGACCTCATCTCACAACTTTATACAAATATAGCAATCGAGACAGTGTACTGTTGGCAGAAGGGACTGACTCTTTGTCAGCGGAACAGGGGAGTCCAGACTTATATCCACACGTTACGTTCGGGTCAGTCAGTCTTCAACAGAGGTGCGGAGTCAAGTCAGTGGAATAAGGCTAGCCTTTCCAACAAATGATAAAGGAACAGTTAGGTGCCTGTATGCAGAATTATGAATCTAGATCCATATTTTACACCGTATGCAAAATTTAACTCTAAACGTATCATAGGCCTCAATTTAAAAATTATGAAACTTCTAAAAGAAAACACAGGAGAAAATCCTGTGACCTTGGGTGAGGTGAAGATTTCTTAGACACTTCACCAAAAGCATGAAAGCATAAAAGAAAAGGTAAATTACACTTCATTAAAATGTAAAATTTTGCTCTTTAGAAGACACAGCTGAGAAATTGAAAACACAAGTTATAGACTGGGAGAAAATATTTGCAAAACTCATCTGATAAAGAGTTGGTATTCAGAGTATACACGGAATCCTCAAAACTCTATAATAATAAACAACCCAGTTAAAAAAATAGTAAAAAAAAAAATTTGACCATTTCACCAAAGAAAACAAAGGGATGGCAACTAAACACATAAAAAGATGCTCGACATCCTCATTTATTAGCGAATGAGACACAACTGTGCGTATTAGATTAGCTAACATTAAAATAAAAGCCCTCTCGCAGAAGTGCTCTGCTCATGCCCATGTCCCCCTCGGGTCCAGGAGCAGTGATGGTGTCTGGAGTTTCTATGTGGAGGTTGTTTTAAACGGCCCTGTGTCCTTGGAGCTTTTGATTTGAATACCAGATCCTAAACCTGTGGTGCTTCATGACGGTTTTATGGAGCATGACGGAAATCTTTGACCATTTACAGAGCAGACAGGACTCGGCCTGCTGTGGTGCGGGGGTGTCAAGGGTGCCATGGAAACGAACGAGTCAGTTCTGGTCTGTGTTTCTGGGTTTCTTTCCATTGGATCTTTACATTTAGGACAGATTTGTATCTTCTGTCAGGCAATGCTCTGAAGAGTGACAGAAATTCTGCCAGTTACATAGCAGTTGGCTCCGTTTTTCATTTTGCCGTCAGGATGGGTAACTCTTCTTTGTGGTTGTCGCAGGTACCCCAACTGCTAAACCAGCAGCGCTGGCCAACGGCGATCATGGCATGGAAGGGAATGACACTACAGGTAAGTGCTTCCCCAGGCGCGTGGGCGAGACCGTCACGGCAAACACCTGAGAAGCTCCTCGGAGGAGGGTTCTTTCTAGGCGTGTTGCTCTCGTTGGATGTGTGTAAACCCAGGCCTCCGCCTCGTAACAGCTCCAACAATGCCAAGAGGAGAGTGGATTTCGTTTGATACTCTCTCAATATCTGTCGTTGTTGTACCACACTGAAGTCGGGTCAGTTTTAAAAGTGCACGCTCCTAGAGGCAGAGTGACCACCGTCGAAGTGTGTCAGAAGTGTGCCACAGCGGAGGCCTGCGGCTCTTCGGGCTCATGTCCTCCCCGAGCACAGCCGCACCCCGTTTAGCTTCCACTGCTCAGTGTCAGGAAACCTGGGAGCTACAGATGAAAAGCTCTGTCCTTTCTCTTTCGCCCTCAGTCTGCTTTTCCTTTATTTTCCCCTCCACTGTTACTTTTGAAATCCGTCTCTGACTTTAACTCCCAGCTATCCGTAGGGCTTTGCAATTCCGTCAGCTGGCACTCAGTTCCTGGGGTTCCCACCGCATCATCAGCACCAGCCCCTTCCCCCAGGGTGTGTGTAGTGAGCAGATCCTCGAAGCCGTGTCAGTCTTTTCTTAGGTAGCCGATAGGAGAGTCCCGTTGCATTTTTATAAGGAACAGCCCTCCTTCGCGGCTGTGACAGGCCGACACTGTCGACCAGATGAGCAGGCTGCTAACGGTCGAGCGCGTCGTTCCCTGCAGCAGCGCCCGCTCTCCCTCCCTGGGGCGTGACATCCGATTCCCGCGACCGGCACCGGATGTGGGCCGCGGCCGGCTTTCTCTCGTAGGCCTACCCCAGCCCGGAGAAGCCTGTCCCCGAGCCACCGCAGGATTCCTCAGTTTCTAAGGCTTCCAGAAGGCCCTCGTTAGCAGCAGTAATTATTCCAGGCTTCGTTCTTTATTCTGTGACCTTGGGAAATGTTGAACGTATCTCTGTGCCTCAGGTTTATTGGGTGACTACGTTCTATTTGTTGGAACTGTTAGTTTTACCTACTGACATCATCATCTTTATTAGCAACTCATGAATTAGGAACTCTTTCCTTTAAAAGCTAGAAACAACCAGAAGTGCCTGCCACTGTAGCTTCCAGTTTTATGAAACAAAATTTTGTTACTTCTCTGATAAATTGGTTGTATGTGGTAGTGACCATTTCTGTGCCTGCTGTGTAATTTGGTTTTAAGAAAAGATTTATAGAAATATCCCTATGATTAAAGGAGAAGTGTGAACATAACTCTAAAAAATGAGTAAAAACAGCTTTCTTTAACCCGGAGGCAGCGCCAGGGGAAGGAAAGGCTGGGAGGGGTTCGATTTGACTAGCTGTTGACAGTGGATGCCACTTTCATCCAGGAAGGAGACAGCAACTAGCAAAATTGGAGTAGGCTTCTTCTCCAGCAGGATGTCAGGTGTGACCAGAGGAGACGCAAACTTTATGTAGCAGTTGCTTCCCGCTGCCAGATCTTAATAGTGCGGGACAAGAACAGGAAAGGCATACAGTCCAGTTCTTACTGTTCCGTGACTTAGTTCCCTGGTGACAAAAAAGAGCCCAGCTTGTTATGAACTTCCCAGTGACATCGTGAAAGCAGGTCTTCCTGCTCTGGGACACCTCTCCGCCGTGAGGAGAAGAGTTTGTGCATCTGGGAAGATGTTTGCATCTGAACTTGACATCTTGACTGTATTAAAGCAGATGCCGTACTGAAAATACGCGCATTTCGTTGGGGGTGGGAAGGAGCAGGGAGGGGACGAAGCGCATGTTTTTGGAGCATGACTTCATTCTGATTTGGCCGTCACTAACTGGAGCATGTAGCTCAGCGCCATTTTGGAAATTCCCATTTCTGTTCCCTTCAGAAGGTTCTCTCTAGTCTAAGAGCAGATCAGCCCCGCTGGTAGCGTAGAAACGGTTTTTTGAGCATCTCGCTGTGTTGAACTGCTGTGTACTAACGACCTGTGCTTTTCCGCCCCTTCCTTCCCCTTCCTGTTTTTTTTCCTCCCTTTCTATTTTTCTCCTCCTAGAAGCCTAGAGTGTGTCTCAACACTGGGGCTGCTGCAACACCAGACCAGTGATCTTTCCTAAGCACCGTTACACTTCTAAAACCTTCAGCATTTTGCAGAGCTTTGCTTTCCTTCCCTGGACACGGTCTAGAAGAAGCTGAGGGTAGTTCTGCGGGGCCTCTCTCTGCTGATGCCTGAGCAAGCCACCTGCTTCCTCTTGTACTCTGCAGGGCTTGATGGAGCTCGTTTCCCTCTGAGCACGAAGGACAAAGACAATTCTTTTTAATTTTAGTATTTTTATAAAGGTCGTCTGATGTCTTTTATTTCTTGTTCTCTTTTAAAACTCATTTTATCATTTACTCCGCTCTCACGTTTTTCTTTTCTTTACGCATTTTTAGTTGGCGTTTTTCACTTGGTCTTCAAACCTCCCACACGAATCAGGATGTGGTAACACCAATGAGAGCGTGTGCTCTCGACAGGGATTGGGTCCCCCAGTCTGCCGTGAACCTCCCTGTGCCTCCCCCTCCTCTCCCTCTGCGAGCTTGCTTTTAGGGAAGGGTAATCTTTTATGCTACCTGTGTTTCTGTCCACCTTACTAAAATATGAGAAATTAGCGTCATTTTAATTTTAAGTTTTCTAATGCAGAGTAGCTCTGATGAAACTTTGAAAAGTATTTCCTCGAATCATTTTTTGTTAGTTGCCAGTTGGGCCGAAGCGGTTTCTATTATGAAATTATTAACTATTCGTCTAGGCTTAGATTCTCCCGAAGATTTAACCACCTTATTGCATGTGTGGAATTTTATAACCCAGATTACTTTCTTAATATTGATCGTGAACAAGCAGAATAAGAATCGAGAAGTTAAAGAAAATGGAATCCAGTATCGTTAGAATACCGGATTGTTCATACAGAGAGAAAGTAACATTTTCTGTATCAACATGGGAATGAAACGAAATGGCAACACACTGAAGGACAAGGATTTATCGGTTTCTGTTGAGGTGATGGTCTCATTGGACGCAGTCTCTTCAGGATTGGTATCCTCTTGAACTCCGGAGAGGCCTTTATGCAGCAGGCCAGGAGATGGAGGGTGGGTCAGGTCCTTTACCATGAATGTTAGTAGATGGTCTCACTGTGACTGTCTTAATTTTGTTCCTCATTTTTCCAAACTAATAGCTAAAAAATCGGGAACCATTTGGGGTAAGAACTATGGAACCTTTCAAATATAAGCTGTGATTGGATTTTTAGAAAAAGAATATAAAACATGGGCCATGTTTTGAAATCTTAGAAGAGTTCTGGTTTAAGACCTGGAATGTGAAATACTCTTAAATTTTCTGTCCTCTTACTGACTATGCGGGTTTTTATAATCTCCAAGGCACTGATTGTTTCAGATTGTAAATGGCACCGTGTTCTGAGGAAGAGCTCGAAATGTACATTGTTTTCAGCTCTCTGATACAGAGCTGCTTTTGTGATGGTAAAATCAGAATATTATGAATGTAAACTGAGTCCCTGCAGTGACTTCTGGAAGGTAGGGAGCATTTCCGCTTCTGGTCATGAGGATCTGGTCACGTGGGTTGGTCTCTCTGCCAGGAATTCCTCCTATGGGTTCTGGAGAGAAGACACTTAAGCAAGGCCTATTTTAGAGGGAAGGGCTTTATGCTTTCCTTTAAGCAGTTGATCAGATATGGAAGCTGTTGCCATAGGAGACCACACCG